TGCAGTCGATATGGATGCAGCTGATACACTCTACTTTGTGCACCGATGATTCCATGCTCATATGAGATTGATAGTACAATATAATAGTAGATGGTGTTTCATAGAAGTCTCACATTGCTTACATTACAAATATTTTTATTGTTTATATATCTTACACAAATACTACAATTCAATTGTGGGTTAAAAAGATGGACCAAAGACATGAGCCAATAAGGTTAGATCCAAAGTGTAAAACTTAAAAAAAGACCAAAATCGTAGTTTTTAAATTGGGAGATCAAAACCCATAAAATACAAAATAGGGGGACCATAGTTGCAATTAAGCTTTTTTTCTTTAATGGTTTTATTGATATTTTTACTTCCCTTTTGTAATAAATAAACTTCGATAGCAACTTTGTTATCATGTCAAATGTACAAACGCATGTGGTCATTTTTCATGTCGCGACAGTTATTACTATTTAATTTTTATTTTCATTTTTCTTTATATTTGGTCGCCCCTATTTTAAAATCTGGAATTTTTGGTCCCTCTATTTTTACTTTTTTTTTTTTTTTAACTTTTGGTCCTTCTACTTTAAGTTTGTTTTGGATTTTATTCTCCTTTCCAATTAGAAAAAGGACCAAAAGTCTAAAAAAATAAAAATAAGAGGACCAACATTTTGGATTTTAGAAAAGAGAGATTGAAAGAAAAAAAAATGAAAATAGAGGGTAAAAATTCTAGATTTTAAAATAAGAAAATCAAAAGTAAAAAAAAAAATAATAATAAAAAGATCAAAGTTGCAATTAAGCCAAATTAATTTTATTTTATCTATTTTATAAATATTTGTCATAAAACATTTATATTATTTCTATTATGAACAATGATTAAATTATTTATTCGGATAGAACCCTTAATTCTATCAAACGTTAAACTTAAATAAATTAGTATCTTTAATCACTTTATCAAATTAGTGTCATACATGCTTTATTTGATTAATTGTTGAGTCAGAAAGTAGGGTGTTAAATAGTGGTATCAGAGCCTGATTGGTCCATCCTGCCAGTTTTTGTAATGTTGTTTTTTCCCTAGTACGTGACATGTGTGAAACACTGTCGGTACTCGTTATTTTTTAGAATCGCTTACTAGAAAGAGATGGATTGAAACAAGTGAGGGAGAAGCCTATGCTTCTATGAGATATTTTTGGAGCGGAGGATTGGTTCAGTGTGCCGCTAATTGCAAGAGTGCAGGTTATTAGATAAGTCAACGTGCTTCTTGATTTTGTTGAAGATGGAGATTTGAAGTTCATATCTGTTGAATGTGTAAAAAGATTGAATTTGGAAGTGTCTATTATGAGTGGTAGCATGGTCATTGATACTCCAACTAATGGTTCAGTGACTACTTTGTTGGTGTGTTTGAATTGTCTTTTAACAATTTATGGTCGAGATTTTGGGAGTGACCTAGTTTGTTTGCCTCTAAGTCAACTTGATGTTATTCTGGGAATGAATTGGTTGGAGTTCAAGCATGTGTTAATAATTTTTTTTTGATAAATTGGTGAAGTTTCTTGAATCTAAGAAGAGTATGGAATCGAGTTTCATGATCACGAGGCACATAGAAATGTCCTCGAGAAAGAGTGCTCAAGTGTTCATGGTGTTCACGTCCTTGAGAGGAGGAAGCGAGAGAATGATTACGGGTCTACTTGTTGTGTGTGAGTTTCCTGAAGTGTTCCTAGATGTCATTAGTAATTTTCCGCCAGAACGCGAAGTTGAGTTTGCCATAGACTTAGTACCTGGTACAAGTCTTGTGTCGATGAATTCGTATATGATGCCTACTTCAGAACTAAGTGAGCTGAAGAAACAATTAGAGTATCTACTTGAGAAAGTGTTTGTTCGACCAAGTGTTTCTCTATGGGGAGAATAGGTGTTGTTAGTCAAGAAGAAAGATGGTAGCATGGTGTTGTGTATTGACTATCGATAGTTGAACAAGGTTACTATCAAGAACAAGTATCCTCTTTCGAAAATTGATGATCTGGTGGATCTGTTGACTAGTGCTTGTGTGTTTAGTAAGATTGATTTATGTTCGGGTTATCATCAGATTCGTGTGAAGTCAGACAATATTCCAAAGACTGTGTTGAGAACGACAAATGGTTACTATGAGTATTTTGTGATGTTGTTTGGTGCGTCTAATGAGCCCGGAGTGTTCGTGAAGTACATGAGTAGAATATTCCATCCATACTTAGATTAGTTTGTGGCTGTATTAATCGATTATATTTTGATATATTCCAAGTATGATGAAGAGCATACGGATAATCTGAGAGTTGTGTTACAGACCTTGAAAGAAAAGAAGTTGTATGTGAAGTTATCTAACTGTGAGTTCTAGTTGAAGGAAGTGAGTTTCATTGGTCATGTGATATCTAGTAGTGGTATCATAGTAGATCCATCAAATATAGATGTTGTGCTGCAATGGAAAACTCTGAAGTATGTTACTGAGATCATAAGTTTTATTAGTTTGAATGGTTACTACAAAAGGTTTATCGAAGGCTTTTCGAAGTTGGCATTGCATTTGACTTAGTTGACTCGAAAAGGCCAATCTTATGTGTGTAGTGTTCAATGTGAAGAGAATTTTAAAGAACTCAAGAAGAATTTAACGTTGGCTCCATTGTTGATTTTGTCGAGTCCAAGTAAACCCTTTGTTGTGTATTATGATGCTTCAAAGATGGGTTTGGGTGGCATGTTGATGCATAATGATCAGTTAATGGCTTATGCTTCTAGACAATTGAATGTTCATGAGAGGAATTATCCTACACCTGATCTAGATTTCATAGTCGTGGTGTTTGTGTTAAAATTTTGGAGGCATTATCTGTTTGGTTTTAGATTTTGAAGTGTTCAATAACCACAAGAGTTTGAAGTATATATTTGATCAGAGTGAGTTAAATATGAGGCAAAGGAGGTGGCTCGAATTTCAGAAGGATTATGATTTTGGTTTGGGATACCATCCCAGTAAGTCCAATTTCATAGTTGATGCCTTGAGTAGAAATTTGTTGCATATGTTAATGCTTTTGGTTCGAGAATTTGGATTAATCGAGTAATTCAGAGATCTGAGTTTGGGTATGTTGAAGTTGACCAGTGATGTCCTTTAAGGGATTAGAGAAGTTCAGAAAGTCGACTTGGAATTGGTTGACCATTTAGTGTTAATCAATAAAGATAAAAAAGATATTATTTTAGGATCGATGAGAATGGTATGATGAGATTCTGATGCAGAGTTTGTGTGCCTGATGTGCCAGAGCTTAAGAAGAGTATTCTTGAGGAAGTTCATAGGAGTGGTTTAAGTATTCATCCCGATGTTACTAAAATGTATCAAGACTTGAAGAAAATTTTTTGGTAGTCAGGAATGAAGAAGGAGGTATATGAGTTTGTTTATGCGTGTTTGACTTGCCAGAAGTTGAAGATTGAACATCAGAGACCGTCGAGATTGATGCAACCGTTGAGTATTCTTGAGTGGAAGTGGGACAATATTTCCATGAACTTTTTTACATGTTTACCAAGGACGACTAAAGGAAGTGATTCCGTCTGGGTTATTGTTGATAAGTTCACTAAATCGGCTCATTTCTTTTCGATTAACATCAGTTATCCTTTGCGAAAGTTAGCCAAGTTAATATTAAGAAAGTTATTATCTTTCATGGTATTCCATAGAGTATTATTTTAGATAGAGATCTAAGATTTATATTGATGTTTTGGCAGAGTTTGTAGGAAGCGATGGGTACTAAATTGAAGTTAAGTTCTGCTTATCATCCGCAAACAAATGGTCAGACAGAGAGGACTATTCAGTATTTAGGGGATTTTCTGAGAGCTTGTGTTTTGGAGCAAGGAGGCAACTGGGACAGTTACTTACCGTTGGTTGAGTTTACCTACAACAACAGTTTCCATTCTAGTATTAGAATTGTACCGTTCGAAACCTTGTATGGTAGGAGGTGTAGGGCACCTTTGTGTTGGTATGATTATTGTTAGAGTGTTGTGTTTAGACCTGAGATTATTCATTAGACTATCGAGAAGATCAAGATGATCCAAGAGAAGATAAAAGTTTCGCAGAATCGTCAAACTAGCTATCATGACAAGAAGAGGAAAATACTTAAGTTCTAAGAGGGAGATCACATGTTTTTGAGAGTTACTCTGGTAACTGATGTAGGTCGTGCGCTAAAGTATAAAAAGCTTACGTCGTGTTTCATTGGTCCTTTTCAGATTCTTTAGAGGGTAGGACATGTTACCTACCGAGTTGTGTTACCTCTGTATCTTTCAAATCTTCATGATGTGTTCCATGTGTGTGATATGAGAAATTACATTCCAAATCCATCTCATTTGATCTAGTTGGATGATGTGCAAGTTAAAGAGAACTTGATGGTTGAGACTTTGCCGTTGAGAATTGAGGATCACGAAGTGAAGCACTTGCGAGGCAAGTAGATCTCCAATTTTAGACTTTTTTTTAATGATGTAGAGCTATCCAAGATGACGTGTTAATGTCAAGTCATTTTAAAAAAGTTTATTTGAATTTTTTTATTGACTAGTATAATTAATTTATTAATATTATTTTAATTAATTATTAATATTTTGTTATCAATTTTTATAATTAATTAATTAATCAAAATTTTAAATAAAACACTTTGGGCCTAATTTTGTTGCTCCATGTTTTTGGTTCATCTTTGTAACACACAATTAAACTATTGTGTTTGTGTAAAATATATAAATACTAAAAACATTTGTAATATAAACAATCTGATGAGACTATTATGAAACACCATCTATAAGAAATTGTGTGTTCTAATGCTGTCAGAAATTTTTTCTGTATCACTAGCTGGACTTATTAGCCATCGTGACCATGTTTGTAAGTACTTTTGGCAAGATGATTGGCACGAATCTGTTTCTGTTTCTTCTTTTGTATCTCATTTAAATTTAAATGCGGAAATATCAGACAATGAAAACTTAACTGCTCCACCATACTCGGAGAAGATTTGGTATAAGTTTTTCATTGATCTACTATGAGTGTAAATGCAATCTCACGCACATTAGAAATCACAGTTATATCAGGCGAAAACATTCATGCATCAGAATCAGAGGACGCATATGTTGTCGTTCGAGGTGAGTCTCTTGATTGTTACACAACAAAAACAGTGAAAGATAATTCGAGTTTTCTTTTATGGAATGAGAAGTTTTTGTTGGACATGCCATTGCATGCAAGGTCAGTCACGTTTGAGGTGCAAAGCAAGAAGTTCAAAGGCGTTCGCCCTATTGGAGTGGCGAGAATCGCGGTTGTGGATTTTCTCAACGACAGCGAATCGGAAAACTGTATGCAAGTTTTGAGTTATAGATTGAGGGATTGGGAAGGGAGGAAAAATGGAGTTATTCATTTTGGTGTGAGGGTGGTTGTGCCGGAGAAAATATCAGTTACGGTGGCGGAAAAGGACACCATGGTGAATGGAAAGAGTTATAGTGATCGTTTGACAGGAATGGATTATGGTGGCAAGAGTTCTAATGGTGTTGTTATTGGTATTCCGTTTTGGGGGAAATACCCTAACAGTATTGTTTAAAGATTTTAATTTTTTTTAATTTTTTTTTTGTATGTTTCTCAAAGATTAACAAAGTCAAATTTAATACAGTATAAATTAAAGTATTTGGTGTTTCATAATAATCAATATTGCCTTGGGAACATTACTTTAGCAAGCAACGACCCAATCCAACTACAACATTGCTTCGAGAAGCAACGACTGTCAACTTTGGCGCCTCCAATGAATGAACGAAGAAAAATACTAGTACTACTAAGGATTTTGTGGGGGAGTTGGTTTTGGAAGGTTTTTAAAGGAAAAAATTTTATAAAAATATGTTTATTATTTGATATTTTTCTAAATAATATATTAAATTACGTTTTAGTTTTTTTTTTTTTTTTTAAGTTTTGGTTTGGATTTTAACCTCCTAATTAATTTAAGAATAATTTCTAATGATGTGATTCATGTACTAATGACATGACAAATTCAAGATATCTCATTTTATTTCCGCATCATATTAATTAATGAAATGGCACAATATTGCAATTATTAATATTAATTAAGTTTTCTTCAAAAATTAAGAAATCAAAAAATTTAAAAATCCAACTTTTATGCTAGGCCTAAGACCATTTTCTTTCAACAATAGTCCAATACACAAGTTGATATAACTACTATGCCAGAATTGACTTTTAGCAGCGCATACAAAGACAGCGCTTTTAGAAAAAGCACTGCTAAAGAGTCATTAAAAAAAAGAAAAAAAACAGCATACCTAAGACAGCGCTTTTTGAAAAGCGCTGCTAAAGGGGGATCCTAAGAAAACGCTTTATTTAAAGCGCTGCTAAATGTATGCCCTAAGAAAGCGCTTTTGTAAAGCGCTGCTCTAGGTGTAACCTACGAAAGCGCTTTTTTTTATAAGCGCTACTATATGTTGTAGGAAAGAAAGCGCTTTTATAAAGTGCTGCTATATGTCATTAAGAAGCGCTGTTATAGGTATAATTAGAATTAATTTAAAATACCCACCAGAATTTTGAAAAGAAACAGAACAGTCGTACGTGCATCTTCTTTCCTTCTTTCTCCTCTGGCGAACATTGTCCTATTCACCACGACCGATTCCCTCGATTCCCTCCGTTCGACAGCCGCCGACTGTCGCCCTCCTCCGTTCATTCAGTTTGTATTGCATTTCTCCACCATTTGTCCATCCGTTTTCGACAGCCTCCGTCCGTTCATTCTGTAGCGCACTTCCGCCATTGTTACGGTATTTGAAGTTTTTCATTTTGCATTTTTTTGGATTATTGTCTTAGTATTTTATTTTTCTGGATTATTGTTTGATATGATGTTAGTGTTACTTCTTTTCTGAGTTATTGCCTTGTTTCTGTTGATACCGTTGATGAGAATTACTCTTTTGATATTGACTTGAGTTTTGTAAACAAGGTGTTTGTTGAAATGCCACAATGAGTTTACTTATGTTAACTTTGAGTATAACTCAGTTCATAATGATCGTAACACGTTTGCAAATAGATGTTGTTTGTTGCAAATGTCTGGTTTGTTACTTGAATACAATTGCAAGAATTTCGTTGTCACAATTCTCTTAAACTACATTTCTGCAAATATTGAATTTCTAAATCTGGAGAATACTCCCAATTTAGTTACCTCCTCATCATACCTTAACTTGGTTAAATGTGATCAATAACTTTTACGGGTTCGATTGAATCTCAATGTCTAGAAAAGTTTACAAGCTAGACATCTAAAATATGAAGTAGATTATTCTCTAGTTGAATGAAGTGTACTTTAGATAATTTTTCATAATCCAATTTATTTATATTTTCTTGTTTGCCAATTATATTGTGTATAACTGGGATAAACAATCAGAGAAATACATTGCTTAATTGAGTAACTTTTGTTAACCTTGTTAATGTTTAAAATATGAGTAGTCTGTTTGACCCATATAATTAAAAATTCTTAAGTTGTACTAATATTTATGTCAAGTAGTTCGTATGAAATATGAGTAGTCTGTTTTATGGTATTTTATTTTGTTCCTCATTTTATAGTTTCTTAGTTGTTCCACCTTTTTCTTTTAATATTATAAGGCTTTATTAAAAGAAATTATCAACTATATAAGAAGTTGTTACATTATTGCAAGTTTTATCAACAGTTGATGTTTCAAGAATTATTTAATATTGATGATGTTATTAATTTTGTCTGTTATAGGGGTTACCTGTGAAGAGCAAGGTTGTGATCATTTTCAAGCATCCTACTGTGTAGCTTTCTTAGAAGTTATTGATTTCTTTACAAGTATTCTTTGTTTTTGTTTAACTTTCTTAGTTTAGTTTAGACTACTCAATTAGTATGGATAAAAAATGGATCTCTTCTAATCGATTGTCTAAAAGTACGAGAATGGGGTATCAAAATTCATTAAGTTTGCTGTTGAACACGCCAAAGACCCCAGTAGGATCACATGTCCTTGCTTAGCTTGCTGTTATGGGCGTCGAATTGACGTTGTTCAGTTGGAATCTCATTTAATAAGACATGGAATTGATCGAAGTTATACATGTTGGACATTACATGGTGAGATAAGTAACGAGAATTTCGGACCCGGGGATAATACGACCTATACTTCAAAGGACAATGACAGAGATACATATGATTGTGATCGAGTCGAAGAGATTGCAGAACCACTTGAAGATATCTTCAAGATTGTCCCAAGATGTTTGAGAGGTTGGTAAGCGATGCAGAGAAACCGTTGTATAAAGGTTGCACTACTTTCACAAGATTTTCTGCGGTATTAAAGTTGTACAACTTAAAGGCGGGTAATGGATGGTCGGATAAAAGTTTCACATAGTTGTTAGCCATATTTCAAGAGATGCTTCCGGAGGATAATGTTCTTCCCAATCGAACCTATGAAGCTAAAAAAATGTTATGCTATATTGGCATGAGCTATGATAAGATACATGTTTGTCCAAGTGATTGCATTTTGTTTTGAAATGAATATGCATCATTAAACAGTGTCCTAAATGCGGTGTATCTCGGTATAAGAAAAAGTTGTCACCAACAAAAGTCTTATGGTATTTTCCTATAATTCTGAGATTTAGACGCATGTTTCGTAGTGACACAGATGCAAAACACCTGACTTGACATGCAGATGATAGAATTATAGATGAGAAGTATCGATATCTGGCAGATTCACCACAGTGGATGAAAATTGATAATGAGTATCCTGATTTTGGAGAAGAAGCTAGAAACCTTCGCTTGGCATTATCGACTGATGGAATGAATCTGCATGGTCTGCAAAGTATCTCACATTCCACCTGGCCTGTAATTATTATGATTTATAACCTACCTCCATGGCTATGTATGAAGCGTAAGTACATGATGTTATCTATGTTAATTTCTGGCCCTAAACAACCAGGGAATGACATAGACGTATACTTGACACCTTTAATCGAAGACTTAAAGATATTGTGGGAGAACGATGTGGAGGTTTATGATGGATATATGAAAGAAAGTTTCAATTTGAGGGCGATGTTGTTTGGCACAATTAATGATTTTCCAGCATACGGAAATCTATCGGGGTATAGCATTAAAGGTCAATGTGCGTAGGGGTGTGCATGGATTATAAACCAAACCAAACCAAACCACATATATGATTTGGTTTGGATCTTAAAACCATTTACATAAAACCGGTTTATTTTTTAAAAACCGGTTTACAAGTGGATTGGTTCGGTTTCAAACCGATTTTTTAAAAAAAACATTTTTTTTAAAAACCAGTTTTAAACCGGTTTCTCTCAAAACCAATTTTTTATTTTCTTTAAAGAAATCAGTTTTAAAACCAATTTTATAAAAAAATTAGTTTTAAAACTAATTTTTATAGAAAAGTAATTATGGCATATTAAACATTTTGAGTTTTACTGAACATATAAAAAAGATGAAAAGTATGAAAATTCAAGAAATGTTGGTTTCAAACTTTTTAACAAGAGAAAGTAACTAAAAAAACTATCTAATAATTAACATAAAATTGAAGACAGGTAGAAATTTTATTAAAATAAAACAGTATTTTCTTTAGCTTTTTCTTCATATTCATGTGATAACAACTTGAAAATTTTATTTGTAGAAAAGGGTAATTCATTTGTTCAGATAAGAAACAATTTTTTTTCTTAACTATTCTTAGATTAATATATATTCCTATCATAAACATATACATATGTATCAGTAAGATGTTATTTACTATTTATGCAGTAATTCTGAAATGTGAAAGAAACATTGTTAGTATTAATAATTTCTTTTCATTTAATTGATTTGCTACCTGTGCAGCACAATGTTCTAGGTAACATGATGAAAGAATAGTTTATAGAAACCAGAAATTAATTAAAGTGCACTGCTGAGTCTGATATCAAATAGTGACTAAGAAGAAAAAATACAAAAAAAAACATGCAAAAGGGATATAAGAAGAAAAGAAATGTATCTTACTTTTTAATTCAAATAACATGTTTAATTTAAAGAATGATGAAGAAGAAAGAGATGGATAAAATTTGAATTTTGAGGATTAGAGTTTCTGAAATTTGTGTTGATCTTGATTTTCTCAAACTATTATGCTTTTGTTTCTGAAGCTTATTGAAAAATGGTTACCGAATCTCAAACCGGTTTGAAACAAATGGTTACCGGATTTTTTTTAATTTGATAAATGGGCCACCAAATTTAAAATCTAAATTTGGTTTGGATTTTAAAATTTGGATTAATTTGGATAGGAATTTGGTTTATGGTTATTGGTTATTTTGCACACCCCTAAATGTGTCTGTCCTATCTGTGAAGAAAACACAGATTGGACGCGGTTGAAATTTGGTCAGAAGAATGTCTTTCTTGGTCATCGTAGATTCTTAAATTCTAATCATCACTACCGTGGGTGGAGAAAAGCATTTAATGGAAATTCAGAACAACGTAGAGTTCCACCTACATTGACCGGCGAACAAATTTTTGAAAAGGTGAAAGATGTGAGTACTCAGTTTGGAAAGCCTTTTGCTCATATGCTTGTCACGCGTGGGTGGAAGAAG